ACTGGCCGGTAACTCATACACGAGCCAACTTGAATCCATCATGTCCGACACGTCAGAGGGTTTCTCAAGAATCCTACATATGACGCCATGTGAATCGGGCTCTTGAATGGTGGGAGGGACCTCTTCAACGATGACAGTGGCCTCTTGAACGGTGGGAGGGGACTCTCGAGAAATGATAGGGGCCTCTTCAACGATAGGAGTGGACTCTTGAGGGATGACAGTGGCCTCTTGAACGGTGGGAGGGGACTCTCAAGGAATGATAAGGGCCTCTTTAACGATAGGAGTGGACTCTTGAAGGATGACAGGCGAGTCTGGCTTCTTCTTGCGGTGTCTTCGCACTATTGGGGTATACAGAGACTTAATAGAACGTGCACACCGTCTGATGCGTGAACTCTGTCGTGCAAGAAAAACCCGACGTAAAGCATCCACCTTATTGGTCCGCTAAATAATTAAATACAAATATCAGTAAATAAACAGACATGATATTTAAACAGTGAAAACAAAGACAAATATATTTCAAACTTTCAACCAAAAGACAAAAAAAAGACAAATACTAACTTCACAGTGTTAAAGAATACACAGTTTAGCAGAATTGGCAGCAACCGAATAAATTTACTTCAACCAAAAGACAAAACAAAAAGACAAATACTAACTTCACAGTGTTAATAAACAATTTAGCAGTATTGGCAGCAACCGAATAAATTTACTAAGCAATCTAAGTGAAATGGTTAATTTAAGTGAAATTACGAGTAAATTTATCATCAAGTTAAATATGGAAAATCTTAAACTTACCTCGTTGTGTAGAGTATGAACCTCATTCTGCAACGATACTACCATTTCGCGTAGAGCGGCAACCTCACCACGTAAAGTAGACACCTCCACACGCCATGCACCATCGTGATCGAGTAGAGTACCGATCTCCTCACGCAAGGCATTGACCTCATCACGTAACTCCCTTGACTCATCCCGTGGAGGTGGAGAACAGGGAGATAGAAGTCATGGCATCTTTGCCGGTCGCCTATCATGAGGTGATGGTGGAGAAGAGGCTCGATGATGTGACGGGATAGGTGATGGCTCTCGTTGTAGAGGTGTATAGTCGGGTCGATCAGGTGATGGCTCTGGGTGAGGTGATGGCTCTCGAAGTGGAGGAAGTGGAGGCTGCTCATCATTCATGCCATCAAGAAAACGCTGACTAGCTTGCCACCAATCAGTGGCAAGCTCAGCCTCCGTGGGTGTCAGTCTAATTAATGGAATGTTGGCCTCCTAAAAATATAAAAACTCAAACAAAGTTAAACGTCTACTATTAATAACTTGTTTATATATGATAGTATTTGTGTTAACTTACATTATTTATTGTCGCATATGGTATTAAGTCTTCCCAATCCAACAGACGTTTCCTCTTCCAGGAAATAGCCCTGGGAATATCATTTGAAGTTTTTATTGCATATGTCTTCATGGCGGGAAAGGCCTCGAATATCCAAATCTACACACAATATAATAACAAATATTAGTAATTGTTAAATAATTAATTATAATTTTGAAAACATTATATAGAAATTCTTACCTTAAAGGCCCAAACAAAGCCTGACAAAGTGTATTTCGACCCATCGCCCCACAAACTTTTGCGGTCATCAAAGGCAGACGACAACTTAGTCCAGATAGCTTTCCATATATATGAACCCCACGGAAACATATTCCATGCATTTAGGTCCTCTACCAATAATATTAGCTCCTGAGGAATAGGTTGTCTGGCCTCTCTGCCTAAAAAGCCGGCATACAAAAGTAGTAGAAGGCATACTCGGACAACATCAACGTCATTCATCCGAGTAAAACCATCTTTCTTATTAAACAATTTCTTCATGTCGTCGACGTGTAAGTTCAGCTTCTCTATTGACTCATCAGGAAAAACCCTGGATAACCATGATGGGCGGGTGATATGACGAGTGTACCGGCCTACATCATCGTGTCCGAATCGTAGACCAGTGATTAAGCAAAACTCCTTCCGCCCAAAACAAGTATACGCCGGTGGAAAATGAAACCATATCTCTTCCTCACCACGTTGTATACTGTCAGGTAGATCGCTAGTCATGGTTTGAAGCCACAAATGGGTCAAATTAGCATCTCCACCCGGATGTTGTACTCTCAGCCATGGCCCAAAGCAGGTTTCTTCAAACAATTTTCTTTGTGCAGGTGAAAGCTTCGAAGCAATTGTAGTGGCTAGGCTAACTTTATTCCTTAATGTCAATGAAGCCGAAAAAAATTTCTACAAAAACAATAAACATACCAAGTTAGATATACCAAAAGCTACACTGTCAAGATATACCAAAAACAATAAACATAAATAGTAGTTTATTCTTGAAACTAAAATTTGCAACACTGTTTTGTCTTTTGGTTGAAATGAAAATCGCAACGAGATAATGAGAATCGCAACGCGGAAATGACTATCGCAACGAGAGAATCGCAACGCGAAATGACTATCGTGACGAGAGAATCGCAACGCGAAATGAAAATCGCAACGCGAATGCGATTTTTATTTCGCGTTGCGATAGTTATTTCCGCGTTGCGATTTTCATTCTCGAAACTATTCTTCTTCTGCATTACTTCAACCAAAAGACAAAACAAAGACAAATACTAACTTCACAGGCTAAACAGTTTAGCAGTATTGGCAGCAATCGAATGAATTTAATAAGAAATCTAAGTGAAATGGTTAATCTATTATTAAAATTACCAGTAAACTTATCATCAATCTCAATATGAAAAACCTAAAATAATGCAAAAATTTCAAAAATAAAAATAAAAAAAACTAACCCTCGGAGGTTGATTTTCCATTTCTGAATGATTGTGAGGGATTTTTGACTGTGAATGGTTGTGAGGGATTTCGCCGACGATGGGGACGGAAATCTTCGGAGATGGGGATGGATTTCGCCGTAGAGAGTGAGAGATGGAGATGGGACTGAGTGTTGTGATTTTGGGTTTGAGGTTATGAGTTGCGATTACTGTGGACGGTTCAGTTTCCGATTTATTAAGAAAAAATTCGTGTTTGGAATTTGAAAAAAAAAATATGCGTTAATACGAATGGCGCTATGTAAATCGCGTTGTGAAAGTCAGAATCGCGTTGCGAAAGTCAGAATCGCGTTGCGAAAGTCAGTATCTCGTTGCGATTTTGTATTATCGCATTGCGATAGTAAGTATCGCATTGCGATAGTCAGTATCGCATTGCGATTTTCCCAATTCGCGTTGCGATTTACTTATTCGCATTGCGAATTGGGAAAATCGCAACGACACTGTAGACCATCGCAACGCGATTTCCAACTATCGCAACGCGAATTTGCGATAATGGAGATCGCGTTGCGAATTAGCGATCGCATTGCGATTTTGTTGGTCATTTTGGCAAATCCGGAAAAAGTTGGTTAAAATCGTATATTATAAGGCATTTTTGGTCACTGAGACGATTTTCTCTAAAATAAAAATAGAAGATGGTCGACGGTGGGAGATGATTATTTTGAAGTCTTTTTAAACTTAATAATAATAAAATGTTATTTTATTATTTATTTTAAATTATTTTTATATTTAATAATATAATAATAAATGTCACATCATACAAAAATAATAATAAAATAATCCATAGTGATCAAAGCATGAGCAATTTGAAAGTCCAGTGAGTAAATTATAAAAATTGAAAGTACAAGAAGTAAAATAAAAGAGAGAATAAAATTCACTGAGGAATGATATAATTTATCCATCTAAAACATATAATTATTAAAATTAAATATATTATGAAATAATATATTGCAAACTATATTAATTTTTAGTTGAGACTACAATATAATATATCCTAGGCAAAAGATATCCTTTCATAATTCCTAAGTACATACGTCCTATTGTTGATGTAAATACGATAATGGATCAATACAAAATGAGAGCAACTTAATCCTTTTTTATAATTTATAAAAACATAATTAAAAAAATTAAAAGATAATATAAGTTAATATATTCTTAACAAAATTAATTTATAATTGAAATCGTATTTAATATTCATCGTAACCATAATTCAATACTATTTTTAAATTTGTTTTAATTATAATTTATCGAAAACTATTGACCTTTAAATTTACTATTTGAGTTATGGGTTAATTAAAATAATAAAAATATATTTAGTATTTTTTATAAACTCATCAAATATTTTGATTTTGATTTTTTACACTGTTAATATTTTTATAGATTTAAAAAAAAGTTATTCAAGTATAGTTATTATTTTTGGATTTTTTTTAAATATTTTGAGTATAAATTAAATATAAAATCATTGGTCAATGACCTATTTAATATTTTAATAGTAATTTAGAAGTAAAACTAAATATTTATCTTTTTGTTAACGTTGTCACATCATCAATTTAACCAAGATAATAGAATGATCATTCTCATACAAATCGTTAACGTTAGTGACTCATTTGTTATTTTTAAAACTTAATTGAAGAAAACAAAATTTTATTCAAATATTAATGACTATTTATGTAATTTATCCTTATCTTTAAGACCGAGTGTAACAAATAAAACATAAATATTTTTTTTTTGTTAACATTGTCACATCATTAATTTAACAAAGATGATGAAATGATTATTTTGTTATAAATCGATAATGTTAATAATTCATTTGTTATTTTTAAAACTTCAATGAAGAATACGAAAATTTACTCAAATATTAATGATCGAGAGAGTAATACATATAACAAATAAGACACCGTGGGTGACTGTCAAGGAAGCAGATGGTTAAAAACACTCGATAATACTTCTTTCGCCTTTGATTGTTAGTTCAATAAAATTCCTCTTCCTCTAAACAGAAGTTTTTCAAAAAGAATCACGTCCTCATGTTCCTTCATCCCTACTGGAAGGGAAACTTGGTAATCAAGATATCTTGAAAAAGGGAATTCCGCATTACTTATTATACTTACCAGAAATGATGTATGTAAATCTTGCTGTCCAGGATCAATCCGAAAACCAAAATTGGGGTTGATTTCTGCAACAATTTTGGAATTCGGTGAAGACTAAAAGATCCGGCAAACATGGAATCATACAACTATGTTACAAATATACCCTTTCGGGTATGCCTTTATTTCTTGCTGGCCAATAAACAACAAAAGTGTAACCTTACAACTGTTTCACTGCATCATCAGACAGACATCTTGGTAAGTTAATGACCACAGTGGTTCGACGAGTCTGAGTTTGATATCGAGTTCTAATCTTCAATGGCATTTCCTCCTCCATCAGATTGTTTTTCTTGTTCTTGTTGCTCTGCAAAACACAATTTTAACACCGATTAAACAGATTTCGAAATGAAGTAAGCAGTCAGTCAATAAAAGGATAGCACAAGATCCCAGAAATTAACTATCAAGTATAAAATAAAGATCCAAGTCCATGGAGTCTGGGGAATGTCCCTCTGTACGCAGATATTTTGTTCTAACTCTTTTTTCCTGAGGTAAAGGATCCTCCAAATATATGGGAAAATAGAAAAATCTAACATTACCCCTATGAGATACATATCCATATCCGGTACTTACACCCGAATGCTACTAAATTAGACACACAGCCTTCCCACTGATTGCAAGAGAGGATGTTTCCAGGGTTTAACCCCATGATTATGCTTATAGCAGCACTAGACCATTACACCGTTAAAACATATAGCATAGAGGTATTTTATATAACTAGATAAGAAAACTAAAAAATCTAAATAAATAAATAAACACCAACTTTCCTTGTATATATTACTCGGACTCAGGCGTGAGGGTTAGAATACATGTATTTACCTGACATGGGTATCTTCAATTTTTTTCTAAGTTTCACATGTAATTGGAAGGTCATATCCCCATACCCGTGTCCAAAAATGTGTACAATGTAAGTGTCAGTTGATATACTTTGAATCCAATCAAATGGGATAGCTCGTCTGACTTTAAAGCAAATTTGGAGCATGAAATTCATTATTATCGCTAAAATCTAAGGTTCCCATGAAAACTGAATCTAATTTGAATATTCCATATATGTAGAAGAAAACAGTTGACTTGCTTACCCATAAGTTTGAACATTGCCTTCTGTGTGCGCCTTTCAAGCTTATCGAGCTTCTTCTGCACATCCCTTCGAAGATCCCAGTTTGGTTTCTTGGGAGCAATGTTGACAAATGGATCCTACACCATTTGATCCACAATTAGAACAAATGTAAAGAAACGCTGTTTTTTTGTTAAACATTATATTGAAGATAAACAAGCACCTCTTTTTCTTCTGATGCTGCAGGTGCTGCTGAAACAGGGTCTTCAAACTTCGGCAGCACCGGGGGAGCAACCTTACCCTCCTGAAGCTCTTTATCATGAGGCACGTAATTTCGAAACTTCATGCTAGGGTTACTGTGGAACAAAAAGGACAACGAAGGCATACATGCTAATGATCAAAACTGTCGGTGAAAGAGAACAAAGCAGACATCCATGTAAACAGATTCTATAACTTAATGCTGAAAACTCCATGTTACAAAAAAAGACCAGCAGCGAAGTAGTACGTTTTGATGATTGAAATATTGAGTTCAATGACAGTATACAGACAACCCTCTTTATATAAATTCTGTGATTCATACAAGTTATAAACTAGAAATACCTAAAATTTATTTAGATCTATGGGAAGGTTGGAAAGTGAAGAGAATTAAGGAAGACCAGTGCTGTTCATTGTTTCAAGAATTTTTCAGGAAGGCAATGAATAACAAGTGTTACCTGTCACAAGATACCCGACAATCCCACATTCATTCAGCTTGCAAAAATCGAGATGATACGAAGGGATAGGATGGATCATTGCCCTCATCCTTAATTTTTACAACTTTGATTCATTGCAGTTGACAAAAAATCACAAGGTTAGAAAAATTTTCTCCTGAACTTTGCATTAAACAACCTCATTCCTACCACACTAGCATGCATAGCCATTGCGAAAAAAATTCCCAGATCCGCCCAACTTCTAATCCTTCTTAACAAGCAAAGTCTCTTAGAAAACAGACACGATCATGGGACCTTCCCACCACACAACCAAAAGCCTTCCTTACCTTCCTCGTTCTCCAAATTATCCATAAAAGGGAAACCTTAGCCTCTCCTTTCCCTTCGAGTTTACAAAAGAACACCCAAAATCATAGAGCAGCTTTTACATATGGAAATATTTTTTTCAGTCCTATTTGGTGCTGTAATCAGTTCAAGCAAGCAAGATATATGAACCCCGGTATCTTAATACATGAATCAAGCAGCTCGTAAGCCTAATTGAGCTTTTTAATTTTTAAGATTATAAGTATATTTTATTTAATACTCCAACGAGTTTGTGTGTATAAAATAAAATTTAGAAACGAAAGAAAAAAACAACAACAATACAACATAGTCAAGATTAATGAAGTGGAAATCAAAGAACCTTCGAGGCTCGAGGTTCTAGCATAATGTTTCTACTAAGCTCGACTGCTTGAGTTATTTAAACCCTAGTTATATCAGTCAAATTCAACTATGAATAATAATATTCCTATACCCTTAGTCGAAAACAGCCATATTTTCACAAGATAAACAGAACCCATCATGAAACCAATTGTTAAAACATAGTTCACATTGAGTTTATGCTAAAATTGAAAGGAGGGAAAAAAATTCTGGGTTGGAAACTAAAAATATGTAAGCTTTTTCATGCTATTCCTATACCCACAGTCCAAAACAGTCATATCTTCGCAAGATAAACAAAATCCATTATCAAGCCAATTATTAAAACATAATGCATAGTAATTTTATGTTAATAAACAAAGAATACAGAAAATTAAGAAAATAAATAGCGTATGTATGCCTTTTAACTTACTCTTCTTCATTAGTTTCATCCCTTTGATTTTCAGCAGCTTGAGCAGAATCTTCATCTGGGGCATTCAAAAGTTCCTGAGCTGCTTTAAGAGCCTTAAGCCTCTCTCGACGTGACGCGGCCGCTTGTTCTATCGATTCCTCTTCGGTGGCCATATCTCGCCGGTTTCAATTGGGTCGAGCTGGGTTTTCTCCGATTTAAATAGGATTACAAGATTTTAAGGTAAAATACACCTTAGGTAATCAATTATGTATTTAATGACAAATTTACTAATTTTTTTCTAAAAATTACAAATAGGTCACTAAATTAATGTTTATTTGGATATTAATATTTTTAGATTATATTTGAGTAAAAAGGAAAAAAATTATCTACATCTAATATGAATATACCATGTGTTGTGTTTTTATCAATGACATTTTTATTTTTTAAAAATGGTAATTTAATATTAAAGTAGAATGAAAATTTAAGTATTAAAATGAAAAATAAATTTAATTCATGAGTCAAACTATGAATTAAGCCCAAGTTAAACAACATACCCATGCAAATTAATAAAATTACATATTTAATTTTTAGGATGAAGTACATTTATAGAGTGTTGTTTTATTGAGTCTCATATCTATTAAAAACTTATAAGATGTTATTTTATTAAGTCTTCAACTATTAAAAGTTATAAAATGGTCATCCAATTATTCATATGTTCTAAACTCATATTTTTCTGTTAAAAATATTGATTGTCTGAGCTAGACATTAACATGGTGACTGAGATATAATGAAATATGATCCTATAATCGTTTGAGTTGTATTTTACGGATCGATTCTCTATTTACACTATGGCATCGAGTTAGTGTTTGAAAACAACGACGGTTCTAGAATATATCATTAAAATGTTAGTTTATCAAATTTTAGTTAGTAAGTTAACACCCAACTCATATAATTATACATTTTTATTTAAAAATTGACGAGTTTAAAATACATGAACAATCAAATGATCATTTTATAATTTTTAATAATCGAATACTCAATAAAACATCAAATATATAATCAAAAGATATATTATAACTTTTAATAATAAAAAATTCAATAAAGTGACCTTCTATAACCAAAGCACTATTTACTGACTTTACCCTAATTTGTATGAGCTCCGCATCATAACAAAGGGTTGGGCAGGAGGTGAATCAAAAGAAAAGGAAATTTACATAATCTGCCAAAACCTACTTTGCGAATTGAATCACAAGTTTGTGATCCGACCAACAAATCCTTCGAACACTAAGCAGTGGCAAATTTGTTTTTTCGTTGCGAAGAAATCCTGCAGTCATGGGAGAAAAAATTGAAATTTGAAATTCTTCTTCAAAGTTTAAGCAGTCTTGTCTGCTGAAAAATCAATACTCGAGTTTTAATTTCACCTCATTTGATATTAGACAACACTGCAAATCTTACAAAGCAGCACGTAGCTTTCCCCTTATGTTTCCTAACCTCCACCGCCACCGCCACCTCCTCCGCCGTCACAACCACCCCGAACAACCAGTTCCCACCTTATAAACTCCCAAATTTCTTTGCAAAAACCCAAACTTTCCCTTTGAAAAACAAGAAAAAGTTTTCATTTCCACCCCTTCCTAATGTGTAGATCTAAAAAAAGCACAGATGTAGTCCAACCAAGATCATCGAATTCATCTCAAGTACCCAAAACCTCAAAATCCTCGAAATTTTCATCTTCTTTGTCTGAACCATCTTCCAGTACCACTTCCAAGACCAACAATTCAATTCTTTCTTCAAGCTACTTCGACAACAACATTTCAAATTACTCATTTTCAACCCAGACTTCCAAAAATCTCTCATCCATCAGAGATTCTCTCCCTGAAAATCCCCACATCTATGATTTCTCCGACATCTGCTCGGCCACCAATAACTTCCGGTCGAAGCGCTTTTCATCGTCTTCGGCATCATCTTCATGGCTCTGTAACCTTCAAGGTAAACAAGTTGTTGTTTTCCAAAGGAAAATGAGACGTTCAATCGAGTTAGCTAACTTGGTTCACACTCTATCAGTGATTTGTAAGAGTCACCATACTAGTTTAATCAAGCTTTTGGGTGTTTCCTTGTCAGGGAATTATATTTATCTTGTTTATGAATATGTGCATGGAATTAACCTTGGAGATTGTTTAAGGAATCCCAAGAACCCAAGTTTTACCATACTTTCTTCTTGGATTTCTCGTATGCAAATTGCTACTGATATCGCTCATGGATTGGATTATATTCACCATTGTTCGGGTCTCGAAACTAGCTTCATTCATAACCATATAAAGATCACAAGTATTTTAGTAGCTGAAGGTTCGTTAATGGCTAAACTTTGTCATTTTGGCACTGCTGAATTATGTGGGGAAGTGCTGAAACAGGAGGGGTCGCCGAAAACTCTTGGAAGATCGAAAAGTAAAGTTGTGAAAATTGAAGGAACAAGGGGTTATATGGCACCTGAGCTTCAATTTACTGGTTTGGTGACTCAAAAATGTGATGTTTATGCATTTGGGGTAGTAATTTTGGAGCTTTTGAGTGGGAAGGAGGCTTTGAAGTTCTTGGTTGATGAAGAGACCGGGGGGTACGAAAGAGTGAGTGTTATAGACACCGCTAAGGAGGCAGCAGCCGGTGGTGGTGCAGGGGTGAGAAGGTGGATAGATAGGAGGTTGAAGGACTCTTTTCCGGTGGAAGCGGCTGGGAAGATGGTGTTGGTGGCATTGGAATGTTGTGAGGAAGATCCAGAGAAGAGGCCTGATATGAACAAAGTTGCAGGGCAGATTTCAAAGTTGTATTTGGAGTCTAAGAATTGGGCTGACAGTATTGGTTTACCTTCTGATATCTCAGGCTCAATTGCCCCAAGGTGAATAAGAACATATTTTACTCAGTTTTGACGATGAGAGCGTCGAATATGTGTTGGCATTGTGGCGGTCAAGAGAATGTTCAAGTTTTTTCATTTATTTGGAGGTCTTTGGAAGATCATATCCTTCATACTCAGATAAAGAAAGATGGAGCAACATAGAAGCAAGCCATCATGATGCCTTTAAGCAATTGATATTTGTACACATTGTGAATATTATACAGATTTGAGATCATTTTTTGGTAGAGATGTTTTGGATCGTAAATATTGAAATTTGAACCTACATCATAAACCACTAGACTGAACTTTGAGGTCTTTTTTTGCAGAGCTTTTTTTTTTACATGATTGTTTCAAATTAGGTTCCTACATATTCTTTATTTTGTTGTACTAACATATTGATTTAAGAGGTTTTCCCTTACATTAATGTATTGTTATGGTTTTGAATCTTTTTTTAATTCAGCACTCTGGGTTGTCAGGATCTTTCCCAACTTGTGTTCTTCAACGAGAACTCGGTGTTTGTGTGTTTTTTGTCTCTTGAGGCCCCGTTTGGTTCATGTCATATTTTATTCCTAGGAGGAATATTTTTTTACGGGTAATGATACCCATGTTTGGATGGGCTACATTCCCAGATGCAGGTAAAGGATGAACACCAACAGTAGTATTTTTTCCTGTTTTCCCGGGAATATCAGTCCCCCATTTCTCTTAGGTATTTTCTTATTCCCGGTCTCCGTTGTCTAAAACACCCTTCTCCTCGCTTGGTTCTGGCTGAAAGAAAATCTGCTTCTTCTATTTGGTGTTCAGATTTGGAGTTCTAGTTCGGTTCGCTACCTCTGCTTCACTCTGTTATATTGCATTTTCTGTTTTCGATCCTACTGATCCTTGCTCTGTCTCCTTCGTTTCTTTTTCAAAGCTACCTGATCGCAAAACTTTATCTCATATTTTCTCTCTTATTTTTTCTTTTTCCAGGTTTGTTTATATTTCTCGTTTGTTAAGCTAATGGAAAAGAAAAATGTCAATGAATTAACAACCATTTTCATGGTTTAGGTTCCTTTTCCAGTCCCTTCAATACCCATCTAAAACTCCGCTTTCTTTTACATGAAAAATCTCTACGAATATTTTACCGAACACCCATTACTCAAATCGTATCCCTAAAACCCCCCATTAAACCCCATTTCTCATTCTGTCGAAGTGTCTCAAACTTTTCCTATTTCCGCTACAACCAATCGCCAAAATCTCCACTTTCTTTTACGAGATAGCATTTCTCTAGAGACTTCTCTTCCTACGAGCTACGTGATGATGATCTTTTGGCTGATGTATTTGCTGAAATAGAACTCGAGAAGCAACAAGAAAAAGAGGATAGGAAGAGAAAAGTTTTGGATGAAAAGGATATTGATGAAGAGGACAAAGAAGATTATATGGGTGTTATGCCACTGATAGAGAAGCTTGAAAATAGGGCGTTAAAGGAAAAGAATTTTCATATATCATTTGAGCAGCGCATGGATTCAGATTTCAAAAACGAGGATGAGGGGAATTAAGAGACGTGGGAAAACTAATTTGAGAGGAAACAAAAGATGCATACGCAGTTGATAAAGAACTTCTGTGAGTCAGGTAAATGAACAAACCTTGTTTTAGTTATTGCGTTGCTTATTTACTCTTACTAATACTAGTATAACATGTATATGGGTGCACATTGTGTAGAATGCTTATAGCACTCAAACACACTAGAGTTGACAATATTTAACACTCTATCAAGAAAAATGAAACACTCAAACAAAAAAACTCCATTGCCACAGGGATTCATGAACGTCTCAAAATTTATATCGAAAAAAAACATAAAAATGACATGTATACATTAATTGCAGCTAAAATTTTGATTTATAAGTGATATTTATGAAATTTTATCAATTGGTCCATTATTAAATTACATTTTTGAATTTGCCAGTGACACTAGATGATACTTTTAAATAGATGAATAGAATTGACAAGTTTGAGGAAAAGCATTTTAAACTTCGCCCTGAATATAGAGCCATTGGTGACTTGATGAATCTACTTAAAGTTACAGAAGGCAAGGAGAAATTTATCCTTAAGCCAAAATTGAATAGGGCAATGAGGCTCCTTCAATGGAAGGAAGCCTACGATCCTAATAATCCTGCCAATTATGGAATTATGAAGGATTATCAAGTTGGTCCTTCTGTTGATCGTGAGGAAGAAGCTGAAGAGGAGAATGAGAAGAAAATAATAAGAAAAGCTAGTAGGGATGAGGATAAAGAAGAATTTGATGACATGAAAGGATAACATACTATTAAAGAAGCTCAATGCTATTGATAAGGAACTGCTAGAGGAGGAAATCAGAGACCTTGCAGAGGAAAGAAATTCTTTGATAGAAAAGAAAATAAGACCTCTTTACAAAAAGGTAAGTGTATACCAGAGCTCCTTCATTTATTTTGCTTCAAAGGTCAAACAAATCAGTTATTTTTTAAATGGTTGAGGAACAGAATTCTAAGCTAATATTATTCTTACATTTTCTTTTATATATATATATATATATATATATATATATATATATATATATATATATATTATTCATATTCATGCTTTTCATAGGCAGGTCTGGTATTTGTAGTTCTTCTCTTTGACTCCCTTTTGTCATTAAAATAGGTTATAACATTGAGAAATTGAACTTCCTTCAACCGAATTTTATTCATTATATTCTCTATATTATGTGAATCCATATATTCATTGTTTTTCATTGCGTTCTGACTCCCCTCCTTTATGGGTATGTATATTAATTTTTAATACAACTTTAAGCATTACCAGTATGACTCATTTGATGATATATATTTGCATTGTATCGTTTCAAGTTACAAGTTTTTGTTTTTCAAACAGTTTCATCTTGCATGTAACTAACTTGGTTTTTGTTGAATGATGGCAGGGTTTTGATATGAGGCTGATAAACATTGATTTCATTTGAATTTGTTTTGTCGTTAAATTGATTTCCATGAAGCACATCCAAAGTTGATATTGTCCAGGGAGGGCAAGTGGTCAAGTACACCGCTTTCTTGGCGTGTGGAAACTATCATGGTGTTGTTGGATATGCAAAAGCCAAAGCAGTCCCTATTGCACTTCAAAAGGTAGCTTTTCACTGCTTTTATTTAAACTTTTTAATTTATACTTGGCTAGTAAATCTTGTCTGTTCAGACATGTTTTACATCCCTATGCCAGCATAGTTCCATTTTAATTTTGGAAAAGGCGTAGTATGCAGTTACAAATTAGCCATGTAAGTGGGAATAAGGGTAAAGCATAAGAAAATTTGACACTGGTTGATCCACTACAGTTTCACCTATGTTAATTGGCAGCTGGGCTTAGGTGTGAGGGTTAGGTGTGGATGTGTTCGAGATGGGTATATTCATTTTTAAAAAAGGTTTTCCATGTATTTGAAATTTCATTAGAGGATCATATCTCTATATTCATATCGGAAAATGTGATGGATATGGATATCATAGGTATTTCAAGATATTTTTAGAGTTGGAGCAATGTATGTTTCAAGTTTCAACTAAACATTGCAATTTTAGAGGTTTTAACAAATAATACAATCACCCCCACCCCCAAAAAAGAAGAAAACAATAAAAAAAAAGGCAACATTAAAAAATATAAAGAAGAAGAATCCATTTTATTTTTCTTTTATATGGATATTTTGAAAGAGTCCCTTCTATGCATGTTTTGCATGATATCTACGTTTTAGATTTTTTATACAACAAAATCGTACAATGTTACTCTAGAATTATTGTAAAGTAAATGTTTTGTTTTGTATGTTCAAAAGCTGTACATTTTAGTTTTTTCTTTGCTATGTTTTTAAATAAACCTTGTTCTGGCTTTTATCTAATTCCTTGGGGGCAGTCTTGCTAATGTTAAGGATTTTTGGATTTTCTTATGATTGCTTTTTATACTGTTACTTCTTACCATGCTGCTATGATTTCTGGGCTAGAGTAGTGAAATCAGTTTAATTTGAAAGGTGTTTAATATCGTCAATATTGTCCCTAATGAACATGTTCGTGAATATCATTAATCATCTTTTAATGTCACTAGCTTGATGAATTTATGTGACATGTACTGACAAATATAACCTACCAACAGGTATATTAGAAATGCTTTCAGAATCTTCACTATATTGAACGACATGAGGAGCACACTATAGCCATCCTATTCAAACATCATATAAGAAGACTAAGGTATGCATAACTCTCTCTTTTTTCACGATTTTTAATCTAGATCTTCCCCTTGAGTTAATTGTTCACATCTTTTGATGCTAGAGTTTCTCTACTTTCACTATTTTAATCTTTTTATGCTTTGGTAGGTCTATCTCTGGCCTGCACCAACTACAACGGGTATAAGATCTGGAAGAAAAGTTTAAAACATCTTGCTTTTAGTTGGCTTTAAGAATATCAAATCAAAGGTAATAAAGTGTTATCGATTCTGCATTTTGGTTGGACTCGGGTGTATGTTGGATATAGATAGATGTTTGACGCTGTTATATTTTATTAATTTTCCCAAGTTTGTTCATGTGTTTAGATGATTCCTAGAGTTTCATTTCTTGTACTCATATATAGATATATGTCATATACATGAGAGATGGAACAACTTAGAAGTGATTGGGAATGGTGTTTAGAATTCAACTCTTTGTATTGCTAATCTGAACAATCTTCCCAAGTTATTGGCTGTAGGAATCCTCACAACACCGTCAAGACTATTCTTGAAGCCTCAATGCAATAAGTAACTCATTCACCCATATAATCAGAATAGGGTATAGAACGACACTTTTGCTTGCAAATTATTTGGATTCTACTTTGAAAACTATTAATTTCTCTTGGTAATTGTTGAATCAAGGTTGAACAGTTGAAGGAGCCAAATTCGAATATTCTAATGCTTCAAGTAGCTTGTGAATTTATTGAGCTCTTTTTTTATATTTTTTTGTGTATCTAATATAGTCAACATATATGATTAAGTTTAGAATGTCATGGCTATTATCTTTTGTAAATCTGAACATTGTACAAACTTTTGATGGTTAATGTTATACTTCTTTTTGTTATGTAAGCTAAACGAAGAATGTAAGCTTATAAAATTGTATTCGGTATGGATGAGTTCATATCTGCTATTCGGTATATTGGATAGTCTTGTCAAAATTATCGTGGCTAATTTCTGTTGCAACAGTTGTTTGTAGTATATGGCTTGCAAGTAATAAATATTATATCTTAGATAACAAAAATAATTTACATCTTTTTATTATTATGAATATCTATGATAAATTATTGTAT